TTCTTCAACAGCTGAAAGTCAGAGTGAAGGGTGCCTTCAATTCAAATGTGAATATCCCAATCACTCTTGGTTCTGTGCCATACAGACCACCCATGCCACCACAGTATCCCCCACCTGCCGCACCTAATTTTGTTGGTCCACCACAACCCTTGGCAGGCTTTAGCAGTATGGCAGGTTACCCTGAGGCTTCTCAGCTTGGTGAAGGCTCACAGCCTTATCCAAATATAGGTGAGTGATAAGTCTAGCTAATGTGGAATTTATTAGTTTCTTTCGAGTTTTAAAGCTGAAGGTGCATGGTGGAAACGATTTCTCTACTTATATATCTTAATTCAGTCAATAAGCATCAACAGTTCTGTGGAAGAGGACTTGGTATAGTACTGGAGGAGTTTCCATAAATCATGAAATTATGAAAACCACATACTGACCATAATTTCTTAGTTTATTTTACACTTGCTTAAAATTTCTAAAATGCTGAGGCTGCTCTTGTCGCAAAGCCTTTCGTATTTACTGTTTTCTGAACTGTTCTCTGTCTGTTGTTTAACCTTTTTCAGTAACCTATTGTGCCGTGTGGGTGAGGGAATGTGTTGGGGAGGGAATCCCTTCTCTTCCTCCCTGGAAGAAGAGAGGGAACCTTGGGAACGAGGTTGGGGTCACTCAGGAATTAGACCCTAACTAAGTACTGATGTGAGCTGACAGTTTGGGAGACGTTGTTTCGCTTAACGCTCTTTCTTCGTTTTGTCTCCCTTGTAGCTCCTCCATCTTATGCAGAATCTGTCAGAGGAGGAACGTCGATAAATGACGATGGTGACTCTGGGAAGGCTCTGGGTAACAATACGTTCACACCGATGTACCCGTTTGTTTATAACTATCAGTTCCCTTCTGCTCCGCCGGCGCCATTTCCTCAAGATCCTGCAACTAAATCGACATTTTAGGACATCATTGTTTTTTTGTTTTTGTTTTTTTCCTGCGTGAAATCTGCGATTTTAGAGGGGAAGTTTGAGATGTCCTGTAAATACAGTATGTTTCTCTAGGTATTTAGTTAACGATATTTTAAATCAGTTACATAAGGACAGTTCCTGTTTTTGTGGAAACTACATGTTTCCTAGAAAGTCATCCTAAGCAAAAGAAGCAGACAATACTCTACGAAGGGACTCGATCGCTCTGACCAAGGGCTATCGTTCGAAACGTTACCCTTTAAACTCTTTACTGTGGCTAATTTACGTTTTCAACTCAGTTAACACTAAATTACTCGTTCATTTTTACGCGCATACGTTGTATATACAGAACTCATAGAAATCTGACCTTTAGAATTTGAAATGATGAACGAGTCAACGAAACGTCGTTCGAAATTATTGTTGCCGAATTTTACTCTTAAATCTCGTAATCTTTTCTTAAATGGGAAAAAAAGTATTTATCTTAACCTATGTAAAGAAAAGTAATTTTCTGGTGTTTTAAATACCACACATTGCTTTCACGAGCATAGAATGCAGTTCGTTAATGTATTGCACAAACTATTGCGTTCTTAGTATTGAGGTCAGGTGTTGCTATGTGAGAACTAGGACCTGCTTTGTGGAAATCCTTAAGAAAGAATAAATTTTGTGTCTGACCAAGCGGTCCGAAATCTCTGTGTATGAGTGGTAGAGCACCTGAGCGCGGAATCCGAAGGTCTGAGGTTCGATTTCTCATGAAGAATTTTTTTTCTTTGTTACAAGTCGATGAAACCTCTCTCAGGTATCTAACTCTTCCTTTTTTTTCTTCTCAACGAATTATTGTTATAGGCCAATGAAAAAGGGTTAAGTTTCTAAAAAAGCTGTGGTGCTGCGTCGGTGGGAGAGTATAACAGGGTAATTTAGTGTTATTAGCCGAGTTGAAAGCGTAAATTGGCCACCGTAAAGAGTTTAAAGGCTGACGTTTCGAGCGCTAGCCCTTCGTCAGAGCGTTTAGCGAAGGGCTAACGCTCGAAACGTCAGCTTTAAACTCTTTACGGTGGCCAATTTACGTTTTCAACTCAGTTGATAACACTAGATTACCCGACGTTGCCCGTGCGTCTGTCACATGATAGCGGAGCTCGCAGAGCGTAGCCCCATAATTATACAAAATGGTAGTAGTAACCCATGAAGCCGAAAAAATTTGGACTTACGACCGTACGACCGACCGTACAAGGTGCTACTTTTAACATGCGTGGTCAACTGAACCACGGACACGCCAACGCCACGGCTTTGTCCAGTAGTGCAGTGGTCAGTGCAGTGGTCAGTGCAGTGGTCAGTGCAGTGGTCAGTACATTGGGCTCCGAGTCGGACGATCCGGGTTTTAGTCCTGGCCGAGGCAAGGCGTTGTGCCCTTGGGACGTGCGGGGAAAAAAATGCGAGCTCCGCTTTAAGGCTTGGCTACATCTATGTAGTACATCATCAGTAAAGACCAATCGCCGTGCTGATGTCATTCGCTTCACTGTCTTCGTTACATTGTCTCGGCCATAATTTAATAATCTCATAATTTAGTAATCTCACTCCTACCCTATCTTTGGTATTTTACCGACCGATAGACGGCCGATGCTCCAAAAGTCAACCAAAACAAAAGACAATTACAATTAGACTACCACCGACTAACAATCAACCACAGTATATACCTCGCCAATTCCGCGCGCGCTGATTGGCTAGTTCGGAAATAATAAGCAAGTATCAGTATCTATCAAACAGAGGGATTGCGTTGAAGGCGCACTCTGATTGCCTACTCAAACTCCTAATGTCCTACTTCGAGCAACTTGCATGAGATTTGCGCCCAAAAATATTGTAGTTAAAATTATCTTTTGGTGCTGTATTACCTCACTGTTTTAATAAATGCTTCAACAACTATTCACCATAATGTAGGTGGTTAGCGGTAGATATTTTACCTCGCCGCTTCAACGCTTGGTTAATATCCATCGCTAACCACCTCCACTTCGGTGAATAGTTGTTAACTCCCGGTTGAATAGCTGTTAACTATCCATCTCCAAGAGAAAAAAATTACGCGTCAAGAGTATAATTTCCGACTATTTCCCAGTAAATCGACAGACATCGACTAGTCTAATTTTTTGGATTCAGCGTGATATATACTAAAACAATTTCTTGATCTGAGTGTCGGTGAAAGTGATGGATGTTTAACTCGTCACTTCACGGCTCAGTAAGTATCCACCATTACTCTCCTCCACTATGGTGACTAACAATTAATAATTAGTCTTAGTTTCATCTCACTCTCCCAATACAAAATTTCAAGGCACTAAAGAAAGCAATAAAAAAGTAACTTCATTATTAACTTGATTTCATTATTTAAAAAGAAATTACAGTGACATCAAAGTTTGTTCATATTATGTTCAAAACGTTTGGAGAACATTTTCACACAGCAATATCAAATTGATTACCCTTTATTTTCATTCCAGACAAGTGCTACATTTACAATTTTACAGTCAGCTCTAGTGGGGAAACAAGACCTCAAACATATACCTAGAACATTAAAACTTATTGCATAACACCCACAGTACCCACTTAAATTTAATTGCTTATTGAGTTAAACACCATCACAAGTGTGCACCCATGTTACCTAAACTTAATACCTTTACAATTAAACAAACTTGTTTTGAGATATATTTGTCCAAATTGGTACATACATGTAGATGGTGTTGGATATCAAAGCACATACTTAGAATTGAGTTTGTGGAATATTATATTGGTTACAAGAAAAAAAGTTTTGGTGAAAAAAATCTGATCTTAAAAACACACAAACAAAGGAAGACAACAGAGCTTAAAAGTTTACATACAAATCACCACTAACAGTAACTTGTAATCAATTAAGCAATTATATTGTCATTTCAATTCCCATTTTACCCACTCCTCTCATCTTGGCATTTCTCACATCAATTTATATTTAAAGAAACAATATAATATGAGACCATTTACCTCTCTTTAAATCTGTTACCTATCCTTTACCTTCAGTAACAAAAAAAAGTGCAAGTTTACCATTAATTTAAAATTTAACTTCCAGGAATTTTACCTGTGGCTCAACCAAAAACTTCCTGTTAATTCTTTTTTAAGGTACAATATTTGTAAAGGCAAGCAATAGATATATTAAAACGCCTCTTTGCACCAGGTATGATATGTCAGCTTCACAGTTCAATGCCTGTCTAAATACAATTCTACAGTAAATAAGTATATACATTTACTCACCCTAATCTACCCTTTACAAATATGTCACGTACATGTCTGAGTTGCAAGTAAAGCATGATTTACAAACTGTTTTGGTTTGCAAACTAAACAACTCAAGAACCAAAGGTCTCTTGCGAAGCATAAACCATGTAAATAAATCCATCTTCATCTTTTTCATCCTTGTAAACCTCTCCAACTGTTATCGATATGCTGACTAGATTTTTCTCATTTATAAGAAGGAAAAATGCTTGGGTTGGACTCAGCTGGAGCCTTTTCCTAAACAAGAAATATTAAAAAAAATCTCAGACAATCAATTATCTTATTGGTCTCAAACAAGTTAATACACAATCACATTGTTTCTCGAGTAGAACTCTCAGCTTTCAAGCAACTTAAATATTATCTTAAGGTGACTTAAACAACTGCTTTCAATTTTTTTTTCTCACTAGGAATTGAAATTGTGCAAATAAAGTTATTTTTGCGTAGTCTGATTTGACACCTGCATAATTTGTTTAATTGTCCACTTCAAATTGTCATGCCTCAGTAAGTTTACAATTAAATTGAGTAAAGACCAAATTTTGCTGGAATGAAAATTTCATAACCTTTCCACTGATATATAATTTATGGTGGTTTTGCTTCAAATTGTGCATTAACATTTTTTTGTTGTGAAGGACACCACCAAGGTGTACTGTATTCATAAGTTTGTTAAATCAATTGATAGCAGTTTCAATGGATGAGGGCTATTTTTGCTTTCAAAAGTTTTAAAATTACTTCTCCATTACAGTCAAAGCTGTATGGAGTAGTGACTGCTTAATACAGGTTCCACATAGGAGTATTATAAAAAATAAAAAAACATAATATTATACTATGATTGACCACTTAATAAACAAAAACACGCTCAAAACATTATTGTAGACTGCTTAATAAAGGTCACTGCTTAATTCCAAGCTGCTTAATTCAAATTAGACTTTAATATATACATGCTGTTGTTGCTATGGATTTATGAACCCATTGGTGACATGTGCAGATGATATTTAGCTCAGTCAGTGGTCTAGTGTTTAACAGAATTTTGTTGCACTAGTCGAGCAATCTTATGAATAATTGCACCCCAGAGGCCAAAAGAAAAAACCTCAACAAACCAACAAGTTTACTGTTAACTGGTAAAAACCAAATTCAACATTTCAAAGTTTATAGAGCCCTATTTCCTGAGGTATCTAGGTTAAATCCAATGATTTTGGCTTAATTCACTTCGGAAAACTAAATCTCAAAAATTCAGCTTTCGATGGGGATTACACCTGATTCCCATTAAAGACTTCACTTTTTCTGCCATGCATCAAATTGAAGTTTATCTGTGAAGATCAATTTGTCACTTGTTATCTCTTCCACAGGTCAAATTATTTTTTATCTCATGAGTAACTTCAATTGTGCACAAGGATGACCTCAACCAGGAGCCTATCAATGGGAGTTTCTGTTCTCCTTTGATTCCTTGAGTCAACCCTGTCCTGAGTAGATTCAGTTTCAGAACAGCTTTTTCCCACAAAAGAACATATTTCTGTTGAGTGACTGACAGCAAATTGAAAAACTAATGTCTCTGCTCAATGCATGTGTGCGGACAATTGACAAAAAACAACAGGATTGCCAAAGTTCTGTTTTGATTGGGTCATAGAACTCGAAAATTCACCTGAAATTCGCCTTTCTATTAATAGATCTACCAAGGAGAGAGTTGAGTCCATGGCTTAGCTTTGGAGATAGAGGCTACTGTTGATGAGCTCCTGCTGCAACTAGCTCACCATTTCATTTCAAATTTACCATCAATATAAAAGAGGTATTCTGAAAGACATTATAAATAACTGCAAGCGGTATTTCAATTCACAACCGTTGAGAGAACAAGCTTTCATTTGTTTTAAGTCCAAAGGTTGCTACGCGGTAAAAGATATATCTTCCGAAAAATTATATTTACAGTTGATACAGTTTCCCATAAGACTGTAAGCATCTGTTTTGAACCAGAGTTGTTTATCTAAATACCTATCTCACCTTATGATGCTTGACAAGCTGCTCATGGTGAGATCTGCGGGAACTAAGTATTTAATTTTATCGAGGACTGGCAAATTTTTCTCTGTTTTTAATCTTTCCACAATAACCTAAACGAAAAACGAAACGTATTGAAATATTTTGAATAAAAATATTGATAACATGTTATAAATGGGTATAAAACATGATTGATATAAGTAAGTAAGTCATGATGTATCATGAATAAATTTTAAGAACATGATTTTGACAATAGCCGAAATAAAAAACATGGAGGGATGTTCTAATATTAACTCTTACCGGCACTTTGTCGGGGTATTGCCGAACGATGGATTCTGAATCCCTTTTCCTTGCCGCTGAGGTTTTCGGTAAAATGCACAAAAGATATCATTTACAAATTACCGCGATAGGACAGAGGAAAAAGGCAAAACAGTAATAATTTTAGTATACATGATGACGAGTTAATGGCGGTTTGTCGATTCCCCGTAAAAATTCCAAATTGTGATACTTACAGAAGCTTTTCCTCTGTTTAAAAGGTTTACTCGTTTGTCCATTCATTGTTTACAGCCGTTCAAATGTACCCTGGCTACAATAAAAGAACGTAAAATGGCGAAAACTAACAAATCGAAATTCCGGGTCTGGTTTGTTATGTTTTGCTTTTCCAATCGAGTTGATTGCGTCATAAAAAAGATGGCGGCGGAAGCATTTACTTGTCCTATTGGGAGAGGTGAGTGATGACTTTTTTATTTATGTGCTGAAAAGGGAGGAAAAACTTTGATTTCGATTTTTAGGTAGAATTATAGAAAAATTATTTAATTTATTGATATTTATAAGTCTACAAAAGAAGATTATGATGAGTTTTAATTAAACTTTTTTTATCAAATTCAGGCTACAATACTTACCCTCCCGCCCCACATAGCTAAATATTTATTCCGAGAAACTCTGGGTCCAAGCTTAGCCCAGACCTCTCTAAAACGGAGGCGCGCCGCGTAAACGAAAACCGCCAGTAGTCATGTAAGCGATGGAGGATGGCCAAGCGATTTGGCGGATTGACGTCCAGCTTATGGCACAACCGCTAATTTTTACGTAGGATCTTCACTACCATCGAAATCTTCAATGGCTGAGAAGTAAGTTTTACATAATCAATCATCCGTTTCGGCTCTATTTCTCAAGAGGTCGTGTGAAGGCAGCGAATTTCCCACCGATAGGGGGTTAACCTGCTCGGATGAAATAAATACGCCTGTTCATGAATTGACAAAGCAAGTGGCATTTTTTTCTTTAGTTGGTTATTTTCTCAGTTAGGATTATGTAGGATTTGAGAATATGATCTACCGGTGTTGAAATGAACGAAGTGTTTTTGGCGTCAAGCTTGGTGCGAAGAAAATTGAATGAACAATCAACGACGAAAAGTAGGAAATTGTACATAACTCGGAATAACGTTTATAACATTACAACTATTCTAGGTACATGATTTACAACAGAAGGCATCTTCTAGCTTTTGACTATCTTTTAAAAAATTCTATATGGTTTCTGCAGTCTTCGCGTTCTGTTTGGTTCTTTCAAGTCGCTTCGATTCCACTCAAGCATAAAATTTGCTGGTGTCAATTCAACGCACTCACTCGAAAAGACAACCGAATTATCTCTGATTAGTACATCTAGCTATTCGACCAGTTTCAATCACTCCACATAATTTCGTTAGTGCCAATCGAAGCAAACATATTTCCAAGCAAGATAGAACATATGTTTCTCAATAACATTGTGTATAAACAAAATTGAAATTGCCCGATCAACCTACAAACCATACGCAAAGTCCCATAACTATAATTTCCAAAAATTGCGTCTAAACAATTTATTCGGTTTTGCGTTAAGATGCGATCGATCGATTACATATTTTTAATGTCAAATTTGTGCTAAAATTGAAGAAAATGTTCAAATTTCTGTACGAATTATTAAGTCGGAAGTTCTTAGAAATGTATTTGTTCTAGAACAATTAGATCTATCTTCCAAGCGGCTTGTCACGAAACGTTCATTTTAGCAAGCAACATGTGCTTAAAAATGAAATGTTAACTCTCTTAGTTCGCATGTTCAGCCAAAAACACAATGTTTTGGTTATGATACACCCGTTGTATACACTTAATTTGTTAATTATCGATGAACAAGAAGGAGGTTGTTAATTTTCAATGAGGTGCGGGTGATATACTGTATAATGTAAATCACACTCGAGTACACGAATACAAGAATATATTCGGCTTCTTTTACGACACGCTTCAGATATTATTCAGCTTAAATCTTACATCATTTTTAAAATTTTGATTGCTAAACTTAGAACAATTTGATTTTTCTATTTCCTTACCTTTTTGTTTTCATCATGTTCTAAATTGTTTTAACCTTGTATGCTTGTAAATTATTTATCTTACGAGCCCTAAAATAAATTATGATTTCTTTGATATGGTGCTAATTGAGTTTTTAATGTTGTTCATTCAATTTTGCGGGTTGTTTTTATTGATCTTAGAGCACTGCCATCAATAAGTTTTTTCAAGATTTGTGAGTGTTTTCAATCCTTGATTCAATCTAAGAAGCAATGAATTAGCTTTTAATTTGCATTTTACATACGTTTTAGTTTCTTAGTTAAACTCTGCATAATGTCATTTTTGAGAACTATTATGTGATAATTGTTTTTGCCTTTTATGAATACAATTACATGTTTCTTCTAGAGTCACTTTTTTGGGAAATATTTCTATTCTGAGAGATTAAATTTTGCTTAAAACTGTGGGAAATTTGCTGCCCTCAAGTCCATCTTAAACTCTCTTTAACCCTGTTAGGAGAGAGCTGAAACACATGTGCACATGTTAGGAGCTTTTGTGGGTTAATGATTCAAATTCTAGCAACAGTAGACTAAAGTGGCGGAATTTTGAAAGTGGAGAGATGGTGTATTTTTTCTCTAGGCAAAGAGGTGAACATGGAGGTTAAGGTTAAGCTCAAAGCTTTTGCTGGAGACTATTCTTTAACAGGGGTATAAAATGTATTTTGCACACCATAGTTTTGTCCATGCACATTTGCTGAAATTTAGCTACAAACTATTGTATTTCATATGCAGGAATGCATTTTGTGCAGATTGGGCTAAAACAAATTATCAATATGCGAGCTGGGCAGTCTTCATCTTTGCTAACAGCAGTTTCAATGGATGAAGGATTTTAAGGCTTTCAACATGTTTACACCCACTGCCAAATCTGGATTTATAGGTGTATATGTGATCTGTGGAGATTTTATTCAGCTCTGTCTCCCATTAGTGGATGAATTGAAAAATGAATACTGTTGCTTGTTGCTACAAATTTTAGTTGACCAATGTTTCTACTTTTATTTTGTTTTTGTAGCATTTTTATAACTGGATTTAGCCCCAAAAACACATTTTTGGTTTACTGAAGGTGATATAAGACAGAACTTGCAGAAACACAACCTCTTTTGATAAATGGCTGCTGATATTAGAACAGGTGGCCTTTTCGATAAAGGAAAGCCTGTAGCTTTTATTATAATCCCTTTGTTTTTAGAATGTATAATTACCTGTGTGTGCATGTCTTTATCAGTTTTTCATATATCTTATGCCCAACATGCTTGTTACACATGAACTAATTGTGGTCTTAACATCAACTTTTAAGGTCAGACTGGGTCGAAATTATTGAGCCCCGCACAGGGGACCCAATGTATGCCAACCTCAAAAGTGGCCAGTGTTTATGGGAACCTCCTGATGGAGAACGAGTGTAAGTTGATTCACTTTATTTCAGAAGGCAGCTCTTTTAGCTGTCATGGGTAGTAGGAGAAAATCTGGTATTTAGATATGAAATTAAAATCATAATTTAGTGATCAGTGTCTTGAGTCCTGAATCAAGCTGTGTATATTATTTTAATTTTGAAGTGTTTATGGTCTTAAGTTAAATAAGGTAACTTTTTCATGGGTAGGAGGATGTCATTACATTGCATCAAATGTGCTTTTTTTCTTTTGAGAGATGTAAGTGAGAGTTTCTTTATGCAAGAGAAACAATGGTTGTTATATTAACTATCACAAATTTAGTACAAGTCTGCTTAGGTTTTTACAAGCAACTTTCCAATAGTCATTTTTATGAATTAACAACAAACGATAAGAGACCTTCAAAAGTTGGGCCTCTTAACATGTGAAGTGAAGGTCTCTTTTATGAACAAGCAACAATTGTAAAATCTTGGATTTGTTTGAAAATGCAGAAAGAAAGCAAATGACAGCCAATGGTGGGAGTTGTACGACCAGAAAACACGACGCTACTACTATTACTGTGCTGGAACACAGACTACAGTTTGGCATAAACCCAAAGATTCTGAGATAATTCCACTTGCCAGGCTACAGGTGAGCTATTGTATTCTTATTTTACACTGAAGTAGGACTTCTTTCAGATTTCTTTCTCTCTTCCAATTCTATTTTTTCCTCCCAGCCTTTCCTTCTTTAACCGTTTCACTCCCAAGATCACCTTGTAATTCTCCTCACTGTCTACCATACAATTCTTACGATGTTGGTTCAGAGAATTTGGTATTGGACAATATATAAACATAATTATAATTCTTGATATAAACAATAGCCTCTATTTGGGACAAAATATGCACAGATATTTGTCTACAGAAATTATCTGTTCCAAGATGCAAATAGTTTTCCTTGTGCAAAGCTTGAGGAAAACTGTGAGAATCTAGGGACCAATAATGTCTAAGGACAAATACATGAGATTATTTTTGTGCAAAATAGAGGCTATTGTGTTCATTATCCTTCAAATATTTTGCAATGCATTTAAAATATTTAATACAAACAGCTTACTGTATGCAGCATGGGATGATTTCAATTGAGTGTTCTCTGGTATGAACAAAATAGATATTTCCTTCCTTCTGTAACATCCACAAAACATGCTCTCATCTTAAATTAAATTTTAAACAAAAACCACTTGTAGAAGACATATGGTGTGAAAAAATTGGGAATTTAGCTGGGTGTGTGTAAACCAATGGTGCGTGAGCAAAAATATTTAATGGATAATAATTTTCAGTATTCCTGTTGATTGTCTGCTTGGTGTTGTTTTGATATTGTAAGGAAAAATTTTGCAAAAAAAATTTTTGTTGCTTAAAACTTTGGTATGGCTGGCATTTTTTTTCAACTTTATGCCTTAGAATGGGTGATAGGAATGAGTAATTGCCGACAGAATTCTAACATGACTATTTTGCATTTTCAATAAAAAAGACTCTGAAAGCAAGGGAAAAACGTAGGGCAGCTAAAGCTAAAGAATTGGAAAGAAAGGAAGGATCAACAAGGCGTGAAGGCTCAGAGAGAAGAAGGAGAGATGGAAGTCTCAGGAAAGAGGGTAGCAGTAGCCATGGTGATGGTTCCTCATCAAGGAGGGAAAGTAGTAGAAGAAAGGATGGGGTGCCAAGGGAGGGATCTTCCTCACGTCGGCATGGAAGCAGTAGGGAGAAGAGAGAAAGAACAAGCTCAAGAGAGCATAAGAAGAATGATGCAGAGGCTAGTGCAAAGGATGAGGTTTTGGATGACAAACAGGTAAAAATGTAGCAACTCAATATCATTTACAGTTCAATCTGTAGTTAAAAAACTTACTGGTGACTAGGAAAATTCTTAGAGAGTGATGTTTTAATGGTAGTGTGTTAAATAGGCATCATAAATCAGAGGATTCTCTGGCAACCTTTCAAAATTCTTTGGCTAAACTATGGTGGACTTAAAAATTTCTCCTGTGACTTATCAAATTCTCCTGTGACTTATCAAATTCTCCTGTTGCCATAACTTTATATTTCAATTCTTGCACCTTAACATCAGTATCCATTTTCTCCTTACTCTTCTGTATACATTTCTTTGGTATTCACTAGGAGAATTCATTTATTCAACAATCCAAGCTTCCTAGGTTGCCAGTCATTTTCTTAATTTTCATCATCTTTAAGGAATAAGGGAGAAATTATATGCAGTGGTCACTCTTAGGTTTGAAGGGGTAATGTCAACCATACAATCTAATGGAAAGGGAAATGTAGATTTACAAAGGCATTCAAGCCAAGAGAATAAATATAATAAAAAAAATTCAAATTAAATCTGTTCATAAAAGTTTTGATTTGTCGATGACAGTCAAATACTGGAGATGAAACCATCCTGAAAGCCACCCCTGTTGCAAATGGAACAGATCAGGAGCCTGATGAAGATGAACCAACTGAACAAGCTGCTGATGAAAGCTGCAAAGAGGCCAGTGAAGAAGATTCAGGCGTTGCTGAAAATGACTTGGATAAACGGAAATCACCCGAGCTTCCTCTACCAGAACTGGACATGCCTGCTCCCAATGTACCTTGTGGTGATAGTGGAGAAAGTGGAAAGGGGACTATTACAGATGATGAAGGGCAATTAACTCCATCAGGAACTTTGTCACGGCATACACATTTAGATGAGTTAGTGCTCAGAAATTTTGGCTATTAGGCTATTATTATAACGTTCAATGCCAAATATACATCTACGGTAAAATTTCAAAAGGTTCATGTCCTTTTTTGCAATAGTTGCAAGAGGATGAACTGGTTTGACCTTGTAAAGATTGAGAATTGGAGTTGTAAGTGGATTCACCAGGTTAACAGGCTTAGAGTTGCAAGAACTCTTCTTATTCTGTAAACTGTATTTGCGCAGAGACAAGCAAAAGTGTAACAAAATACCCCTCATTTTCATAGAGTTCCCCTATGTCCCTTTTTATCTGCATGTGGTTTCCTTAACCAGGGCAAGCAACTAAGAAATCTCTCTTTGGTCCATCGACATTCATGACATGTTCCTTTTTTTTTTTATTAGCTCCTGTGATGACCACCTGAGTCCCTCTGGAACTATTGAGCGAGCACGGCAACTGGTGGAAAATGCATCCAGAAGCATTCTAGCCAATAGCGCTGCACAGAAGTTAGACAGAGACAATGATTCTGTATTTGTTGATAGCAGAAAGCCCATTGTCTCTAATAAAGGTATCATCTATATCTTTGAAACTTATCTGTAGTTTCAATTTATTTACAGGCAGCACAGCCTATTTTTCAGAGAAGACGTTATAATGTGATCATTTGTGAAGGTGAAAGTTTTAAGCAACTGTGTTTTAAAAGGTCCTTTCCCGTTTTAAAACTCCCATCGATATCATTATTATATTGTGGACGAGAAATATTAATCGTTCTGCCCGCCGCCCAAACTATTTTGAACCATCAAGCACTTTTGAACAATCAAGGCAATCTGTTATTTTCATAATCACAGGACACCAGGACATTTTAGATAATTCTCTGAGCATTAAACTCAGGGCAGGTGGAATGCCAGCTACCACAGCGCGCCTTGTAGAGGCCTGTGCACCACCTACACTTAACGAGAGTCAGGTAAGTATCCGTTCCCTCAGGCATCAGAGGCAAGTGAGCGACAGTGTGCTGAAAGATCTGAGAGATGATGACGACGATGATGATGATGATGACGAGATGGAAACAAAGTCAGTGGGGGCACCGAGTACTTTGCCGCGCCTTAGTCGACCATCTTCGATTGCCTCACCAGTCACCGGCTCGTCGAAACACAATACCTTGGTATGTTGATTTTGAGCCTTTCCAACCGCTTCACTTCGAAGAGCCAGGAGTTGATTCTCCCAACTGATTACCACAGCTTTCTTTGTTGGCTAGTTCTGAGAATTTGGCGTTTCATGAAGGCAGTGACCCATATTCATGATAACGTGTTATTACTCGTGGCAAAGAATACTTTATTTCGTTTATCGTTGAAGTATTAATCCTCATTCGTGACTCTAGTCATATCTTTGAAGTTTAGTACATGGAGAAGATGGTCACAAATCAAGAGATTTACAGAAAAATTGGATTGTATTTTTCAGGAACGTTCACATTCCATCCCCGGTTCGAAGCCTCCACTCATACGAGCTCTTGGCGCATATGAAGAGTACTTAAGTCAACATAAGAAAGGTGTCTTCAGACGGAAGAGAATATCGTTAGCCAGCATGATGTCTTGGTCAAAGGTATGTTTTTTTTTTAGAGTAGCGGAGGAGCCGAAGGACAGCTCCGAGATCAACATTTCACAGTCGCCATTAAGTGACTTAAAATGCCTTGATGTAATAGTCGCCAGAAATTTAAGTTACGTCAACTGGAAAAAGTGAAGATATCAATGAATTCTATTAAAAGAAAGAGAAAGCCACGTGGCAATCGTTTTTGGACTTTTACGCAACAAAGAGGCAATTTTTTTTAATTAAAGAAAGTGGCTGAACATTTGCAACATTTTATGTTTATCTCAGTTTAACTCCAGACCATTTGAAACACTCAATTAAAATAACAGTGTATGTAGCTAGCTTCTTAATCGTCAAACACTTGCAGCGACGCGTACGTCTACTGCAGTTCTAGTTCTCATTATTTTTGTGCATGCTGTGGTGACCAAAACGTTGGTAGCCTGGCGCTGCAAAGGGGAGCGGTGAATTTTCTGTCAGAAATAGAATACCTGCAAGCCCAGAACGTATTCGTTAGATTCAGAGACTTTGAGGTCGCAGGGAACTAATATGATTCACAATTAAAATAGTTCTTCGAGAGAACCAACTGTTACCTAACTTTGCCCTTTTTTCATTGGCGTGTTTTTGGTTCGATTAACAGGTGCCAATCAAAAAACCATTGATCCTTATACAAGATAGGCAGTTAAAAAAGGACGCAATTGATACCTTTAAACTGATTCTTGGCTATATGGGCGATCGATCCATCAAAGGGAAAACTCCAGAGAGGCTGGCTCTAGAACTCACCACAAAGGATTGGAACACTCCTGTATTACGGGATGAAATTTACCTTCAACTTTGTAAACAGACCACTGACAACTTTAGGCTGTAAGTACTTTTTAAGAAACTGGTGTTTTGGTTGGTATCCAACATAGCAGACCAATACCCAATCATGACAACGACCCAGAAATTAGAAGGGAGTTTAGTAATTAGTCGAAAATGAATATGCCTTTTTTTGCGAAACTTTTAGTTAAGTTTTTACCAACGTCCATCTTTATAATGGAAACTGTATGCCGTAGGAATTTACTGGTGTGATTGGGTGTGGCTGGTCTACAACGATATTTTGTGGTCCTATCAACCAGTTCCGAATTAAGGTTGGCGCCTTAAGTTTTAGTTCTGTTGTGAAGTCGTCGATAGAATTTGTTCTTTTATTATATTTTATTTATTCACGTCTACATTCTTTTAGGGAGAGTTTGCGCAGTGGCTGGGAGCTGATGGCAATTTGTCTCGCTCTTTTTCCTCCTTCAACTAAGTTTTACTCCTACTTAGATGGGTATCTCAATAAAAACTTGGAGGACATCGAACGGAAAGAGGTCAGTCCTCGTAAAAAGAAAAATAATCGGTAGCTTGCGTTGCTAGCGGTTTTTCCGTCATTTGGTGAAAATTAAGGCGGCAGTTTAAAGGACGGAAGTAATACCGTGGGAACGACGGAAAACCCGTTTTGTAGTTTACTCCTTCCCATTCCTCTCGCAGCTTCCCTGGCTCATTTCTGCGGAAGCGCCGCTGAAC